GTTGTTTGGCGGGTCCAGGCTGGGGATTCGAACCCGCCACCTTAGGTGTACGTGGCTGGCGCCTTAGCCGGTTGAGCTATAGGCGCCGAGCCTATGCCTGTATTCTTAAATGTTCTTATTAGAAAAGAATACTGAATTTTATCAAATGCTTTTTCTGCATATATTTAGAGGATAATATGGTCTTTACTTTTGCTTCTATTGATGTAGTGAATTACATTTATGGATTTGCATATGTTAAACAAACCTTGCATCTCTGGGATGAATCCTACTTGATCATGATGTATAATGTTTTAATGTGTAGCTATAATCCATTGGCTAATATTTCATTGAGTATTTTTGTATCTATATTCATTAGTGAAATTGGTCTATAGTTTTCCTTTTTAGTTGGGTTCTTTCCTGGTTTTGGTATCAGGATGATTTTGGAATTTAATAATTTCCATCTTCGTCTCTTTCTTGGCCTAACCTTCATAGAACATGTTGGGGAAGGTTTCTTTCTTCTCACTGTTTTAGAATACTTTTGATGTAGGAACAAGCTCTTTTTCTAGGTTTTATAGAATTCTGGTGTAAAGCCATTTGGTCCAGGGCTTTTTATTGGTCTGTTCAGAAATCTATTTCTGCTTGGTTAAGACTAGGAAGATGGTATGATTCCAAATATTGGTCCATTTTTTCCATATTGTCAATTTTCTGGGCATAGAGTTTCTTGTAGTAGTCAGAGATAATCTCTTGTATCTGTTGTTCCCCTTTTTCATTTATGATTAGGGTTATTAGACATCTTACTTTTCTGTTTCTAGTTAATCTGGTTAAAGACCTTTCAATATTATTTATCTTTTTAAAAAATCAATTTTTTGTTTCATTGATTTTGAGAATGATTCTTTTGTTTTTAATTTCATTTGTTTCTGATTTAATTTTGGTTATTTATTTTCTTCTGCTGAGTTTGAGATTGGATTGCTCATCCTTTTGTATTTCCTTAAGATGATTCATGAGGTTGTGTTTGTGCTCTCTTGCTATTTTTCAGATGTAGGCATCTAATGCAGTAAATTTCCCTCTTACAGGTTTTTTTAAACCTGTAGCTTTATTGTGGTTGGAATTTAATAATTTCCTCCTTTGTCTCTTTCTTAGCCTAACCGTCATTTAATTTAAGGTTATTTAATTTCCATGCCTTTGTGTGGGGATGAAAATTTTTGTTGGAGTTGAGTACCACTTTTATTGCCTTTTGCTCTGAGAAGATACAAGGTATAATTTTAATTATTTTAATTTTATTGAGGTTTGATTTGTTTCCTAATATATGATCTGTTTTGGAGTATGTCCCATGGGCTGATAAGAATGTATATTCCTTGGTGGTGGTGTGCCTTAGCTTGGTGGTGGTGTATTTTGTATATGTCTATTAAGCCCATTTGTTCTAGGGTCTCATTTAAGTCCCTTATATCTTTGTTTGATTTCTGTTTAGAGTATCTGTCTAATTCCTCCAGAGGGTTGTTAAAATCCCTAACTATTGGCTCGGCGCCTATAGCTCAACGGGCTAAGGCGTCAGCCATGTACACCTAAGGTGGCGGGTTCGAATCCCCAGCCCGGACCCGCCAAACAACAATGACGGCTGCAACCAAAAAATAGCC